TAAAAGTTAACGTTGACAAGTGGCCAAGTGGCAAATACAATTTTTAAGACGAATAAAATTACAATTGACTGAATTTTTTAAAATAATAAAAAACAATAGGCAATGACAGACAGAATTTTGCAAATAAATGAAATTGATTTAATTTCTTGGAATAGAAAAACGAGTGGAATAAAATTTTCATCAAATGAATACATAATCTTCAAATTGGACGATATTATGGAGGGCGAGGAAAGAATTTTCTGCAAAAGTTAACGTTGACAAGTGGCCAAGTGGCAAATACAATTTTTAAGACGAATAAAATTACAATTGACTGAATTTTTTGGAATAATAATAATAATAAAAAAAAAAACAGGCAGAATAAAATTTTGATCAAATGAATACGTAAAATGGGTACATAAATTAGACGACACTATAGAGGGCGAGAAAGAGATTTTTTACTAGAGTTAACGTTTGGACGTCTGCGTCCGAGACTTTTGACTTGGCGAAGTCTGTTTCTGCTTTCCGTGTTTCTCCGCTGTTTCCACCTTTGGTACGTTGATTTAAGACTGGTTTAGAAAAGAGGAAGGAGAGCAATGTACACTTGCAATTTTTTAATGGGAATGACTGTTAGAGAACAGTAAATTACAACGAAGTTTGAGAAGGTTGGAAAAACGAGTCAAGTTAGAATATATATACATTGATGTTATTAATATTACTGATTTAGTATTAATAGTATCAAGTATTATTGATATGATATATTTATATGGTATATTTTACTCAATATTATTAATACGATACTCGATGCAATATAATACTTAATATAATATAATTCATGTAATGCTTGTATCTAATGTTATCGATATAATATTTGTAATACTTGAAAAAGTTGAAGAATAAAATTAGAATGTACAAGTATTCGATATAATATCATTAATTTAATACTTGATATTATTAATAATACTATTAATTTGATGTGATATTATTGACGCAATATAATCCCTATTATACTTTCAAATGTTAAATATACATTTAACAGATTGACCAATATTTAATACCACCGGCCAATTTAATAAACTCAATAATTGTATTACACTTCAGTCGACATGGTTGTCGCAATTGTTTAATCGACATGTGTCTGTTGATCGGTGGTTCCAGGCAGATGTTCCCTCAGATGAAGTTCCGAGTTTCCGGATTGGACGCGAAGGCCAAGTATATCCTTCTGCTGGACATCGTCGCGGCGGACGACTACAGATACAAGTTCCACAACAGGTGAGCAACCTAAGTGAAGCGTGTAACAGTGTAATCGTCATGATTAGAACGTTCCGACGAATCGAGTAACTCCACGAATCGCGATCACGAACTGTTTCGTGACGGCCGCGAAACGCGAGAATTAACGCAATTATTCAATTACGTTGCCATATCCGTGTATATTTTCCACACTCGGACTTTTTCTTTCTCTTCGGAAGTCTAAATTCTCTCGTTTCAACTCCATTGAGCATGTAATCGAGACGTTTTTGTTTTTGTTTTTGTTTTAAGTGCATAGTACATACAGGAAAATAGTATTTAAAAAATTAGCAGCCTAAAGAAATTTTCTGCTTAGTATAACTATATATCACTTCTATTTAGACTCTGGCAATTTGAAAGTAATTGGTCAACTTTTGAAGAAGTTTTTATTAAGTTTCAATTAAAGAAAGTATATCATAGAGATTTCGCGAATTTTGAAACTGCAACGCACTTTTAAATCTGTTTCTTCCCCCGGTTTCAAATGAATAGTAAAACAACCCTACTCCAAAATCGCAGATTTAGATTTTTTTTCAGTTTTTCTGAATATTTTTTTGAATTCTCACATTCTAAACATTCTAAATGTGTTGCATATTAGATACACTATGCTATTATATTTTCAATGCACTGCAGATTTAATAAATTATGACAGAATTAATTATTGACGATCGAGAGATCGCGTGATCTCGTCCATCGCCAGAGACGTAAAAAACCGGGAACCTGTGATTTTGACATGGTTTGGCAGCTCTGACTGTTGAAGCCTTCGCTGTTTGTTATTTCTCGAGCATCGTTCAATTTCTTTTTCTTTTTTCTCTTTTTCGGCTGCTTCCGAAATTTATGCCCCGAAATGAGGAGAGGCAGATAGTGTTCAACCGGCACTTTCCCCCGAAGGAAATGATTTACGCGTCGCGATCGTTCGACTACACGGCGACACTTTCGCCTCGACTTTTTGCGCCAGGCTGCTCTCGCCAGATCGCGAAAATTGCCACCCAAAGTAACGAGCTTCGAATTGAAGCCGATCATTATCCACGCGATTTATATCGATAACTTTCTCCCTTTGGTCCACCTGTTCGTTGCAAAATTACACTTCATTGTTTGTTTGCTTTTTTCTTTCTTCTTTCTTCTTGTTTTCCGCCAAGTTTGATTAAAATGGTAATCGTACTCTTCGCGCAACGAAGAGAATTGAAGAGATCGATTTTCACTTCTTTTTAGTCGAGACGCTGATTCAGGTATCCATCAATTTATTCGATTGATTGGAATTGTGATGTGGTGTACGTGTTCGTGGATATTACGATAATAAAATATAACGATAATTGCACTTTAAACAGGAGTAACAAATATTCTTCCTATAAAGTGTTTTTTTATGTGAGAACACGATTACAAAATATCTGTAACAAAGTTCTCAGTTACAACGTTATAGTTTCCTCGATCGTTGAAGAATTTCCTACCCAGGCAAATTTTTCTGTTGGATTTTTATCTTATTGTTAGAGTCTCGAACGCTAGAATTATCAAAGAGACTAATTTACTTACTTCTGTCAGAAATTTTATAGACATTTACAGTTATCAATATGATCAAGATGATTAATAATATCTGTTGGAAATTGTACGCGCGTGAAATGACGTAAGCAAATTTTTGGAAAATTTATTATTACAAATTATCATAAACCTTTCTATGTCTTTATTTTAACGTTTCTGATGGGCATTTTACGCTTTGGTCGTCGGTATTTCTAGCATGTAGTAACGACGATAATAAAATATCTAAGATCGTCCGCGAAGTTTGAAGAAATTTCTACTTCTCATCTCGAGAACGTAGAAACCTCAATTCACGCGTGCAAACGTGCACCAACTGTGAAACGACATGCAAAGCGAGCGGATAAGGAGGAGAGCCGCTCGAGTTTTTTCTTTTTTTTCTTTCCAGGCAAACTCTACCTATTTGCAGAGAAGTGAAACGTCTAACTTGAGAACAATTCTAGCCGTGAGCGACTGATTGTGAGTCTGCAACCTTCCCGCCGGTCATTAGCTCGCTATTAACTTTTTCCTTGGAAAGCCAAAACGCGCAGACACGCGTTCTCACGAGGCATCGTACGCGTACCGTCTGGCTTTTTCTCTTCCCCGTGCGTCGCCAGGGTGCTAAACGGAACATAATCGGCCGGGAAAGCAGGTGGAAAATTCGTCGACCGACTTGGCGAAAAAAAAAAAAAAAAAAAAAAAAAAACG